CACGGGCGCACTCACACTCGGACAAGATAAAAACACAATGCAATACGGCTGGCATCGGCAGGTCGCAGAAAAGAGCTGCCAGTGTTAAGTGCGACTATTTTCGCGCCGATGACACATCGCCGCTGATTGGACGGAATCGAGACTCTAAATAAAACCCCCTTCGAATCCCCCAACGAGCCTTTGCGTCCTTGCCTCTCTTCGTTCTCGCGTTATCGCCCCCTTTTCGCGCAATTCCGACTCTATCTTCATCCCCGATTCGCCACTACACCTTCTCTTATTTTAGACAGGTGTCCAGACCGATTCGAGACTTCGTTATGTGCCTCCAGGTTGCGGATTTCCGTAAACGAGAAGATAAAACAGATGAGGGTAGGAGGATGGCATTTTGGAGGGAAGCGGTAGTTTTGGGGAAATTTTGGGTGGTAGAATTTGACGTTGTCAAGGTGCTAAGCTTCCTTTCGTGTCTCCATCTTACAGAATCTTGTAAAAGACGGTGAATAAGGAGGACATGAATGTATCTTAGACAACAGGGGTAGATTTTTGAGAACGATGATGGAATTTGTCAATTCGTGCCAGTTTCGAGTCCCCAGGTTGCAGAGAATTCAAGCTTTCAGATGAGAAGAAGATGGACGTATTTTAAATAAAGGAAGCAATTTTCAGCGAATTCCGAGAGATTTGTCAGGAACCTTAATAGAATTTATCAACGTCAGGAATGGAGATTTGATTTCTCTCTTCTGGGTTAAACGATTCTATAAAAATTAAAGACCGAGGAGAAAATGGACGTGTCTTAGAGAAGAAGATAAGTGATTATTCTATTCGGTTTTTAAAAACGTATGCTATTTTAAAAATCTTGAAAATCCCTATTTTTGGAGGAAATAGTAATGGGTATTGAGTTTTGCTAAATTTAAAAAATGTTGAGAATCGAAGCACGAGGTGAAGTGTCGTCAGTGGTGAGTTTTGCGAGATTTTTAAGACAGCCGACAGAATTTGCCCCCGTCGAGGATGGATCTTTCGAAGATCTCGAAGAACGATCGGAGCTTTCCATGAATGGGCTGACGACAGGCTTGATCCTGATTTGTTGGCAGTCGCAGCCGAATTGTTGACGGCGACGGGATCAGCTGGGTGCTTTCGTACACTCGATCGGCAGCTCGGTTTATATTTATTGCATGCTCACCCGATCTGCCGTGTCTCTTTTTCTGCAAGAAGAGGCGCGCGTGAGTCATGCTGGATGCCAATTGGGCGAGTGCCCCGGTCCCGTCGTGGTGCATGTTGCACAATTGCAGGAACACCTGATTTTCACGAGCTCTCTGGGGTTGCAATCTGCGTGGCGAGCTGAGAAATCCCGGCTTTCCGCGGAATTTTCCGCACAATTTTTAGCGTGCACCACTGGTTGCAAGAGTAAAGAGAATATAAATAGAAATTCCAAAAATATAACTCGAACGAATTTCGAAAAATTTGGAAATTTTTGTAGATAGACTGACGTGCGAAGATTGGAAAACACAAGAATCTGAGAATATAATTGAAATATATGGAACATGACCCGGTAAACGTCATGTACGATACTGTGACACATTTCAACCCCTATTTTAAGAAGTACAGAAATTTGGAGACATATAGGATACAAGGGACACAGAAGTGTGGAAAAGAAGTATAATGAATGTCTGATAGACATCTCGACGGTATTTCAACCCCCATCTCGAAAAACACGGAAATTTGGAAATATGGAAATTTATAGATCCGTCATTTGCCAGCTCAACTAACTGCAAGAACTAAAAAGCAGAAATTTATTTTAAATGTAGGAAATTAAATATCATCGATGACTCTGACCCTTTATTTAAAATTACTGTAACTTTTTGGATATAAATTACTATGATGTAAGCATGAAAGGTATATTAAAAGATGTTAGGTCTGGTATGAATTAAAAATAAAGAAACTTACCCTAACTTTTGTTTCGTATCATCCAAGAGAAAATAGTGGAAAAATAAGTATCATTACATTTAATGAGAAACTTTTAATCAGGGATAGTAAAATTTAGAAAAATTCGAAAAACGGAATTAATCACTTGAAATGTCAGCGAATGATTCATATCCAAATCCCTGGTCCCTCTGCAACGTTTCAACCCCTCTGTTCACCATAAAATCTACCAGTATCGACACCCCCTCCCCCCGTCAATTCAGCACATCCGAATCCTTGCGAAAGCTTGCGAAAGCTTCTGAAAATCTCGTAGATCATCGTTCAGACAGTCGCAGCATCCGTGTTAGCTTCTAAGCGATGGCAGCAGGCTAGACAGGGGAAAACGTGGCGTGGGTGGAGGATGCGACCCATTTAAACGGATGCACGTCCGTGATCCGATCTCGTTGGGTGTCTTTCGTGTTCGTGTTCTGAGCTGCAGAGACGACGGGATTCCGCAAAATCTCTTAAATCTAGTGGTGGGTGTCGGATCCAGCGTGTGGACCGGGCAAATGAGGAAACGGCCAACTAGCCGAGTCATTTCCACCGTTTACCAGGGCCACTTTGCTCTATCCGACCCGGTGGGAGTCTTCATTCCTGGCAATTATTAATTATTCGACTCGCCTCGTCCGGATGTCTCCTTTGTCACCGGTTTTCTTCTTCTGCGACACGTTTCTTTCGTTAACGCTCTCCTTCGAACGCTTCCTCGGGTTTCACCGTTAAATCTTGCAATTACGTCGGCGCGTTTGAATCTTGCTACCTTCTCGGCTCGTCACCGATCCAACGTTTCCGTTTCCAGAAATTAATCGGACACTACAGGAACGTTTCGTTTTATTCCACGAGCTTCATTGACAAACCGATCTCCGCTCCTGATGGTAACCGTTTCAACAATTCGATCGTTGAGAAATTATTTACAGAGATATGGACTCTAGGTTCATTTTCAACTTCCTCCCCGAGAATTTCAGAGTTACTAATTGTCATCGAGTGACGATAGCTTGACAGGGACCTAAATCTGTCCATCTACAACTGCAAATCGCAGTGCACTTCTGACCCATTCTTTTAAACCTTCAAGTGTTCCATTTAATGAGGGAGTAACTTGAAAAAGGTATATCTCGGGAGAAAAAAATCGCCTGATCGTGAATCAAATTTGATCTTACAGAGGAAGGTTAGTGCTTTATAACGTGGTTGATAAAAATATTGAAGAAAAATTATCGTCTTCGGAATATTTCCAAAAATATAGCAAAAACCCATAGATTTACCTATTTTCCAAGCACAGTGAACAAAGATGTTTAAGAAATCTTCCATTTTCGGAAAATATACAATGCTCGTAATACTTGTACGTATTGGAGATCGTTTGTCATCCCATTTATCCTTTATTAATGAATAAATTGGAAAGATCAGAAATGATCACGTCAGATAGTCCAGCCTGCCCTGTCTTCGTGTTACGTTCATTTCATGACAGAAAAATCTTCGAATCTCCCCACTTCTCTGGACTAAAAATCCTCCGAATGCATAGTCGTAACACCGGTACAATTTCGAAGAATCGGCGGATTAAAAATCCAAAGTGAAAACACACGTAAACCTACTCGAGGTTAAGGAAACTATTCAGTGGTCGCGGGATGGCTATAACGTTTGCCGTGCGAAAATTGGATAACAGAGGGATAAAAAGGAAGAGGGCAAAGCTCGACCGAGGAATTCCCGCGAGGAATGTGCTTTTCTTCTATCCTCAAGAGGACCAGTCTCTCAGAGGATGAACGACGGAGCTTCTTGACGACGCTCGCGGGTTAATGGTACCAGTTTCACCGCATACTCGTTACGAAAACGATATAAAGGGACATGTAACGGGCAAGGTGAGGTCAGCCAGAGTCTCGTAATATTCCTACGTGTGTTCGGGTTCGTAAGGTCATTTATGGAACTGGTCCGTCTTACGACATTTATAAACCTGTTCCCCGAAAAGATCGCTCGTCAGAATGCCTGCCACTGTGGTTCCGTGTGTGAAACATCGACGTCGTTCCTTCATCGACACTTTGTTTCTGTGGACGAAGTTTCTTGGTTACTCCATTTTCGCGTTTACTCTTAAGGAATTGATTTGGGTTATGCGGTTCGGTTAGGTTTCTTTTGATTTATATCTGAATTAGATTTCAGAATATTTATTTCGATTTAAACGAATTATCGATAGATCCAAGTACAAGGGGATTTATATTTGAATTAATTTTAATTTGAGTAGACTTGGATTTGAATGAATGTCAGTCTGGGCAGATCTGAGTACATGATTTGTATTTAATTCAATTTACGTTTCGATAGATTTGGGTTTTAATGAACCTCTGAGTAGATTTGAGTAGCTTGGGTTGAAGTTCATTTAAATTGGAATAGGTTTGAATTTGAGTAGATTGGGGTTTAAATAAATCTGAACAGATCTCACTGCGTGGAAATTTTGATATAACATGGTTTGGGTTGCGAGTTATTTAAATTTGAGTAGATTTGGATTCGAATTGACTTGTTCGTAAATTACTGTAGGTTTGAGCGACTTTGGATTGAAGTAGATTTCACTGTGAGTAAATTTAAGTTTGAGTAAGTTTAGGCTACAGATGATTTAGATTGTGATAAATTCCTAAACTTCGAGCAGGTGCAGATATAGAAAGAGATCCGAGTCTACTCAAATCTTATACCAGCAATATATCAAAATCTACCCTTAGTACTGAATAACTGGACATTCAAATAAACTGATTAAAACACAAGCCAATTATGAAATGAAAGAAACTAACTCGCGAAATGTCGGAAAAATCCAAACAAGACCATTCCACCATACTTCTCCTATATACTAATTTACTGCCACTTCACCAATTCTCTTCTCTCTTTGCCGTCATTGATACAAATAGCCACCCCGTCCGTCCACCCTCGAAAAGAGCCAGTATTTATATCTCTTCCACGTCACGATCTCCTTCCATTCCCAATTTTCCTGGAATAAATCGCAGGCAGGATATCAACGTGTCCCTCTGACTGCCAATTTTCCTCGAGCGAACGCTTCTGCAGGGTTTTTCTTTTAATTGCAGAGGCCTTGGGGACCGGAAGTTCGTCGTGGCAGAGCGAGGATGGCGGCCCGAACTCGCAGCGCGGCGGAGAGACGCCGTCGTCTTGCGCGACGCCGACGTCGGCCAGCTTCCCGTCGGAGCCCGAGGTCGACGCCGACGTCGGTGTAAACGCCGACGGGAACAACGCCACCGCGCCCTACCCCTGCCAATTCTGCGACCGCACGTTTCCTCGGCTCAGCTACCTGAAGAAACACGAACAGGTATCTGCGATTCTTCCTTCTGCTTCCTTCTGCTTCGTCTTTCGTAAGCTTACTCGGAGACCTCAACGAGACGCTATCCTTATGGATCAAACACGCTTGCCGAGATGTCGATATCGAATTATTTTATGCTTTCTTTGTCTAACTCGAATTGGAAAAGATTTATGCTCGAAGAGATCGATTTTGGGTTCGACAATTCACCTCGTATTACATTTGTATATTTTTTGAATCTGTGGAAGTAAGAGTGATGGATTAAGTTGGGTTTGAATAGACGTATGAGTTAGGGGTGCGTTTTATTCGAATTAACTCTGTGGAATTGAGAGCACGGATTCTGGAAGCCGTTCAGACTTATCTGAATTAAGTTACGTTGAAAAAGATTTAGGTTCGAGAATTAATTTTATATCAGATATTATGAATATTACAGATCCGATAAATTAATGGATTAGTTTGGATTAAAATAGATCTGGATTTACGTTCAGACAATCCTACATTGGGACTTCGTTTCCTCGTTTAGTTAAATCCGCATTTGCGGGGTAAAAATAAATAATTCCTAGGTCAAATCATGAAAATCGTTGATTATCAAATTTTTGAAAAATTGAGAAATCACAAATTATTTAAGCCTCGAAAAATAATATTCTGAGCAAAGGCCTTGTAGGAGTCATTCAGGCTCAAAATCGAATTAATTTACATTCAAAAAAATTTAAATTCGAATTTATTAAGACCGATTTTGGTTCAGAAATCAGTTCCATGAAATTTCCCATGAAACTTTCATTCGTCTCTGCCTCTCTCTCATATGCCACCCCTATTCATGTGTCAAAATTAACAGGAACACGTCGACCAAAGGGAATCAATCTTAAAATCGAATTAATTTACATTTAAAAAGATTTAAAATCGAATCACTTCGAATCTAAAAAGATTCAGATTCAATTAAATCGATTTAGCTTCAAAAATCAATTCTACGAAATTTCCTATGAAATTTTTATTCGTCTGTCCCTCTCTTTCTCATATGCGACCCCTATTGATATCTGGAAATTGCCCAAAACGCGTGGATTAAAGGGAATCGGAGATCCTGCAGCCGGAAACTGGTTCAGTAGCGGACCGTCGCGGGTTCCAGGGGCGGAAGACGCGTGGCCTGTTGGAACTTTTCTGTTTTGCATGGCGGTGGCATTAGAGGCTGGACTCTTCCGCGTCCGAGTCGACGTCAACGGGTCATCGTCGGGTCAAAATCTGTTCCATGGCCCATAACAGGTTGTACCGGTCAGGTTGTTCGTCCAGGTGGTTCTCCAAGCTTCGGCTTCTCCTCTCCGCTTTTCAAGCCTCGATAAAAGCCGCTTCCACATACGCGAGCTGAATCGCGCTTCGCTTCCAGCACAGATACGAGCCCGATAACGGAGATAAATTTCGTTCAGGGGCTATGAAATCTTCCTCCATTGCCACGGACCTTCTTTCTCTTTGTCTCTGCTCGACCACGGAAGTCGGCTCGTGGAATTGGCCGGATTAGAACTACGGTCGCGAGCATTTCCAGGAATGTTTACGTATCAACGTTTTCCATTCTTTTCCAGCTTCCGCTTTGAGATTTTAGATGCCGTTCCAGTAGAGGAAACCTTTATTTCCCACGTACATAATTCGAGTGCAGCGAGATAGTAGAGCTCTTCGCGAACTCTTCGTGTTTTTGGATATGAAAGCAGTTGGCATTGGGGTCCCGGAAAAAGGTGTCGAACGATTTAGACATGGCACGAATTTTTCGTTTTTACACAGTTTTTAATTTAATAACGGGAGATGGTAGCTGCCTCGTTCGATTAAAATTATTAGAAAAATTTAATTTGCTGGACGATAAAGATAATTTCGATGAATATACCTTAAAATACCATAACCAGTTGAATCAAAAAATTATTATGTCGTTCGCGATAATAATTTCCTAGCAGGGTGAGATCTAGAAGATTCTCGTCATTAAATAATAAAACTAACATGCACTGTCAAATTCCATAATCAATCGAAAAATATCCCATATATTAGAGGATAATGGTGCCGCCAATAACGATGAGTCTCCGACTGTAATAATAATGACTCTTCTTCAAAGTTCATAGTCAAAATTTCCTAAAGAGAAACTGTTCAATTCCATAACCGATTTAAAAAAGAAATCCGTGAATTCTCGATTAACAACTGCATCAAGCTCACCGTGAGTAACGAATATTTTCCAACGATTTACACCGGTGTGTTGGCAAAGCCAGTGTCGAGTCTCAACGAAGCCGATGAAATTAAAAAATTACCACGCCGTAAATTGAATCGGCAACATGATCGAGAATAACGACACGACCCACCGGAGATTCCTGGCCGGTGGTTCGAGGAGCAAAAGGATCGACGGGCAAGAAAGTTCCTCAGCAAGGAATTCCCCCTGGTGGTTGTCACCCAGGTAGATCAGTGTGACCGATATGATCGCGAACGGGCCGGGTCATTCTCTTTGTACAGCTCTTTTTATGCTCTCCTTTTTTCCCATTTTTTTCTCATCTTTTTTCGAGTCGGTCTTCGTCCAACGAAGTAACCTCGGCACGTACGACTTTCGAGCCGTCGGCTCCTTTGAAGAGACAATCCGGACGAAAGGGCGAAGCGATCGCCTCCTTCTTCGAGACCTCTGTGTCGCGACGTCCACCGTCTTCGTGGATACCGAGGAGAGGTTTCAAGAACTCCGGAGAGATCCGACATTTCGGGATTTCTAACCGATCGGAAAGTCGAGTTAGAGATCTGTTCACAGGACCAGTTCCTTTTCAATCGTGTTCTTCGTCTAATGCAGTAATGAGGGACACGTGGTCCAATGGTCTATAAGACTTCAGAATGCAGCTCGATGATAGAATTGTTTCTTCCTGTTTTATTTTCGGTTTTAAAAGTAATTAACCCTTTGACTACGACAGACCTAGAAACCTTCCATAAGGTACGAATCCATTTGCGACGTACACCGAGAATGATGAAACTTTTAAGTATGCATTTCTAAGAAATTATTATATATTCAAATAATAATCAAAACACTATATTCCACTATATTGAAACAACATTATTTATTGCTTTGTATTCTGCGTTAAATTGTTACTATACATACTTAAAATTTAACAGCAAAGCGAAAAGCTTTCGAGCACCTTTAGGCACCTACAGTATCATAAACACAAGATTTCTAAGCGCCTTTAGGCGCCCAGAATAATCAAAGGGTTAACAGAACTTCCTGTCTGGGTGGTAATTAATATTCATTCTGGCGAATGAAAAATAAGATCATTTTGATACCTTTGGTATTATCTATAGATCTTAAGTATGATTTTCAATTCCTTTGCACGTGGTCGGCATTTTATATCGAGATTTGTATAGTTTCCAAATGCATCTAATTTGCGAAACTAGTTCGCAATGTTTTTACCTAATGTGGTGTAAGAAATTTGGAAGCATGTTTCTGTTCAGAAATTTCTGTCTGCCCTATAAAGTCTGCATAATATAATAAAAAAGAATATACTACTCCGTGTGAAGATTATGGGTATTCCAATACATAAATACTTGTTAGATTTATGATTAATCATCGTTCACGGGTCAAAGTGGCCATTTTCCAAAATTTCTTGAAATTCCAAAGTATTTCGTCGATGCTCAATGTTTTACATTTAAATTTCTATTTTGCGGAGTTAATCGGTTGGACAATATGAGCGGCTGAATTGCATTTATAACGGTGAGGTATCTCCTCAAGATCGTCTGTTTTAATGTCACAGAGCCACGGTGACCAAATGCCATACAGATGCAGCTGGTGTGCCAGATTATTCAAACATAAACGCAGCAGAGATCGACACGTGAAGCTTCACACAGGAGACCGAAGATATCGATGCACGCACTGCGAGGCTGCTTTCTCCAGGAGGTAAGTCTGCAAGTCTACATCGCCACTTCAATAATGTTTCTCTGAAGGATAATTCGCAGTCTTCGTGGGGTTGCCTCATCCGTTAAATTTCCTCATTTATCTCGCTAATTATTTACGAACTGGCTTATGTTCGGTAGAGTAATTCATCATTTAAACCGTTTCTATGCCGTCGAGTCTTTTTGTCAATGATTTCTCAGTACCAATACCAACGACGATACCATACCCTATCATACCACGTACCATGCTACCATATACTACCAAACAAGTACTATACGTGACACTAAAACCCAAAATTCTGAAGCACCCCAAAACATTAATCAAAGACTCGTTAATTTACAAACCCGATACTAATATGACTGCCATACCCTATCATACCACGTACCATGCTATCATATACTATCAAACAAGTACTATACGTAGCACTAAAGTCCAAGATCCCCAAGAACCCCTAAAAATTAACAGATTCAAGGATTTCTCAGAACCAGACCAACAACGCAACCATAGTCTATTCTACCACATACCAATCTACACCGCGTAACATACAAACCTACTCTACATACACAAAGCAAAAGACATAGATTCCTGAAGAACCCCTAACAACCAAAAGACTCAATTCTTCCTTCAAACCGACACCAAACCATCAGCAACACCCCACGCCTCATCGCGCTGTATATCACATACGTATACCTACGTACCCACGAACGAACTAATCTGAAAGAGACAACCGGAAAGTGGAAAGTCGTGGAGGCCGATATTCCGGGGGACCGATCCATCGTTTGACAAATGAATAATGATCGTGCGACGACCGCGGCCCCGACTGGCATTAGTCAAGCTTACTCTCTTACGTGACTCTTTCTGTTCACCCCTCTCACCCGCGTGCCGCCCCAACGGCCTCTTTTCCTATCTTTATTTCTCCCTTTTCTCTCGCATTCACCCGCGGTTATTGAAATGCTAAGCTGGTATAACCCAGCGGACCCGCAAGGGTGGCGAGCACACGCACCTTTTCGTCCTTTAAGTGTCCACATGGTCTGGAATACGCGCGCCGTCGGGTACACAGACGAACCACGGTGAATACGAGAAGAAGGGGCCCCCGTTCTCTCTGTGCGTCTCCGGCTGAGTGGACAGGTAGGCGCATAGGTGTTACGGGACAACAGGTAGAACATTAGTCAAGTGCCTCGTTGCTGCTCGTCCACCGACGCTTCAGCCCTTACGTCGCGCTCACGACTTCCATTTGGTACCTTGCCACTCTTCCTCCTTGCGCTCCTTCGTTCTTGCGGTTCCTCGCCAACCTCGTCACTCCGTTTTTATCACTCCCACACGCATCGTGCGACTCGACGAATTCGGGACCAGCCGATTCGTTTCGTATGGCTGACGGTGTTAAATGGTACCTCACAGCGTGTCGGGATCTTGGATATTTCATATCCAGAGGATAGGAATTTTTTCCCGGTTTCCAATGCCTCTCGCGGAAATATCCGAGATCCGGAAAATTTCAGAAAATCACGGGTTCCAACAGATATCCCGAAAATTTCGGGAAATATTGGAAATTTTTGAGATCCCGACAATTTCGGGAAGTCTCGAGAACTTTCGGAATTATCAAAAGAACTTTGAAACTATCTGGGACTGCTGGAAATTTCAGAAAATTACGAAAAGCTCCCGGATTCCCGAAAATGTTCGAGATCCCAAAAATGCGAGGAAATTTCGAAAATATCTAAAATCACGAAAGTTTCAAGAAATTACGAAATTGTCCGAGATCCTCGAAAATATCCTAGATGCCAAAAATTTCGGTAAATCTCGAATATATGCGGAATTTTTAAAAATATTCGAGATCCCGAAGATGTCAGGTTGACATCTCATTCTGAGTTATGTTAAATTTGATATCGACTAATAATCTTTATACTTGGTGACTCAGAATCACCCCTCGAGTACGAAGAATTAATACTTTCGACTTAAAAATGATTTACTCGCGTCCTCATGCTCTATCGCCTGATTTACTAAGGCTATGAAAGGAAATTGGAAAAAATTCGCATTCAGCGACTTAAATCCATCGGTATCGTGTAGAAAGAGTAGATTAATATTTCCTTAACCTGAGAAGAGGGGTGGAAAGGAAAGTCCTAACAGAAACTTAGCCTGTCAGCCATTATTACAATCGCATTGCTGGATCTTTACGCCACATCTCTATTCGTTCTTCCAGCTCGACAGTCGGCTTGGGTGACCCAACAAAAGGGTGAAAACCCCTGTGGTTCTTACATAGATCTCGCAGCCACAGGGGACCCGAGTACGCGATCGAGATCGATCGAAATACACGCTCAACCAGTCGTTATCCAGGTGGATCATCTGCTATGAAAAACGAAACTCTTCTAATTTGTCGAAAATTATTCCAATGACCCGGAAAACGATGTCGCTTTCTGGTTCGTCGAAATCTTCGCGGGAAAGGGTATTTTCGATTATATTTACGAGAAAAGGAATTTAGGATCGCACTACAATTTTTAAAAAAATCGCAACTGCAGTTAAAATAAATGTACCGTGATAAATAATAAGCAAACAAATTTTTGTTGAACAATTTATCACGACTATCGATTCCAGAAGAAAATATAAATATTATTTAATAAGCAAACAGATTTTCGATCGCACTATCGATTGATCGACGCTTCCAGTAAAAATAAAAGTATTATAATCAACATCACCGCTAATAAAAATACGCAAACACGAATTTTGAATTTTTAGATTTAACACTAGATACACAAATGATAATAATTATAGTGGTATAATGAAGATGATATATAATTAAAATCAGCAGTGATTTAGTGAAAAATAATTACAAACTGTCAGAAACTAAAGTCAATTATCGATAGAACAAGCGATTTTGACATGTTTGGCAGTTCCAGCGTCTTAATATTCCTGGAAACCATTTTGAATTTGATATTCCCAACTATGAGGGTTAGGATGAAATATTCATTTTTTCCATGACTCTTCGACTTCCTTCGGAACATCCGCTCATAACCACTTTGCATAATTATGTACCTACATTTACCGACAACCCATTGCGATTCAGTTCTTGCCCACTTTTCTCGTGTCGTGGATTAAACATCGAATAACTTCTGGCTAGCGTTACGTCAAAAAGTTTTGCCAACCGTAGAGGTAACGTGACGAAGAACGAGAAGATTGAAATGGACGCGAAACGCTGAGCGAATTCGGTTTCGATGCCTTCTTTTTCCGAAATTTCATCGGTTAGAGCTCATAAAGGCGATACACGCGATAATAGGACGGTCAGAGCGTAACCAGTCGATAATCCTGCCACATGAATTATTCAAACGCAAAGTGCAAGAGCGAATTTGCCGTCTGTCTTCGTTTCTGAACGTGCCGAGACACTGACCGGTTGGACCAAACCGGTGACCTCACCTTATAACGGATTTAGTTTTCCACCGACCGGATGAATAATTCATCTGTCCAGTGACACATGCACAGGGGAAAATCGTTGACCTATCATCCGCGTCTTTTTATTTTCATCAACGCTCCACCGACGAGCTGACGTTTCCCTCAAATTCGCGATATCGCATTGATTTTGCGTTCAACACACGTCACGATCATTTTCGACAAGAATGCCTTTCGTACAGAAAGCCTTTCCTTCTGGGATCCGTTGGTTAGAAAAATTTGGGGTACAGGTTTCTTGAATTTAGAAAATTCGGCTGGAAAATGAACAAAATGGCTAATTTGAATGTCAGACTCGTCAGTAAATGGCGTGGAATTTTGCAGCGGATAGTGATATCTTTTTCTTGGTACTTATTATTAAACTGGTGAATACAATTTCCTTGTACACTACCCGCGATTTGTGTAGAAAAATCCACACCTGTCTCCTAACCAGTGTAGAAGATATTCTGTTCAGATGTCTTTGATTCTTGTGAAGAGAATTAAATACAGTTAAATTCGGAGAATTATAACGATCATTTTCCTAATTAGATGTGTTTAATTTTTAGTGACCACCTGAAGATCCATATGAAAACACACGACACCCAGAAGCCGTATCAGTGCACAGCCTGTTCCAGAGGTTACAACACGGCAGCTGCTCTAACATCCCACATGCAGTCGCACAAGAAACATCATCAATCGCAAGGAACGACCAAGCTCCAAGAGATCGATTATGGTAGAAGAAGCGTGTCCTCTCACAGTACGTCTTCGCCACCTGTGCCGAGTTCTCCGTCGCCATCTTTAAATCTCGCGTTGAATCCGAAGACTGGCCTGAAGAGCTCCCAGGGTAGCGCTTCGACGACTCCAATTCTGAGTTCTCCGTTGAAGTTGGCCTGCATGTACTGCACCAGAGACTCCTTCAGCTGCATGCAACAGCTCCAGATGCACGTGCACACGATGCACCAGGCTATCCTAAGCGGAGAAACGGTTGCAGTATCTCCGTCGACTAATAGAAGCAACGAGCAAATAGCTTATCAACGCGAAAAGAATTTGGATCGACCCGAGGGTACCTCGAAGGAGCATGAAAAGAAGTACCAAGAGGATGCGGAAGGATCGATCGAGAAGGATCACTATGAAAACGCGTTCACGTGCAACCAGTGCACTATGAAGTTCTCCACGTTAGGTTCTCTGAGGGATCATTTGATTTCTATCCACAGAACCGACGGTTTCGGATCTACCTTGATGATGTGTCCTCTCTGCGGCATTCCCTGCACTTCTGCTGCAGCCTATGCAGAGCATTACGTTCTCCAACACTGTGAGAATCGACGAGTAGGTCCTCTAGAAGCTAGAGACTACGTAGATTCCAAGATGAACGGAAGTTACGATTCTAAGAGTTCCAGGAGTCAGAAATGCAGAGAGCAAACGTCCTCTGAGCCAGCAGATTTAACCAGCAAGCATTCCACGGCTACAGAAAGCAATTATACAGCTGGTACATTGTTGTGTGGTCAGTGTGGCGCGGCTTTGAAGGACTTCGAGTCCTTCAGAGAACACTTGGCTAGACATCTCCAAGCCGATCATCGAAACGATGTCGTCAGGCATCCTTGCCCTAAATGTGAAGCCATATTCCAAGATAGGGAAGACATGTTGGTACACTTGACGAAACATTACCTTGGTCAGATCAGCAAAGAGTACGCTTGTGGCGCTTGCAAGAAGCTTTATCCCCATCCTGATCTTCTTCAAAGACACTTGCTCGATAGCCACGCTCATCATCTCTATAGATGCGCTCTATGCAGGGACACTTTCGATTCCAGGGTTGCGATACAAGTTCATTTCGCCGTGAAACATAGTCAAGAATGTAGGATCTATCGATGCAATGCTTGCACGGTGCCTAATAATGAAAACTCGCCAGGGAACGCGCCGGGGGAAGGAAAAAGTTTCTTTAGAAGCGAATCTGAGATGGCGAACCACGTGAGGAACGTCCACGCACCTCCCACGGTGTCGAGTAACAGTCCTGTTGCCAGAAGTCCTGCGTCTACCCCAGGGATAACTGGAAATTCCGGACCAAGATGCGTCTTCTGTGGGATTTGCTGTAGTTCTGAGCTAGAACTGCAGCTTCATTTGGCCAGCCATTCTGCAAACTTGTACAGGTGTCCGGTTTGTAGAGAAGGATTTGCCGTAGAATTCCTGTTGGACAGACATATTGCTCAAGCACATCATTCTAGTGATCATCAAGGTGCTGTTAGAAGTAGTTCTAGGGAAAACGGGAGGATTGGTAGACCACCAAGATTACAGGAAGAGGTATGTAATTTAATAAGCAATAAAATAAAACGTAACAGAATTTAAAAAGCGCCTTTGCGACTTGAATTATAAATTGTAATTGGCAGAAATCAAATGGTGATTCGACGTTTGTGTTTGAAAATAATAGAGATCAAACTAGCAAAGTTAAGCTTTAAAGTCTAATGACTTTTGACCGACTTTTCCCATTACAGGCTAAATCTCAGAAAAGAGGCCGTTCTCCAGCATCCAGCAACAATAATTCCCTAAACCAACGGGACAACAATAATAAACGTCCAAATTACACCAATACGTCGTCCCAGCAATGTGATCTGTGCGAAAGAGGAGAGTTTTCCAACGAAGCAGAACTTCAAGCCCACAAAAAACTTGCTCATAGTACAGCTAAGCTGCAAAATAAATCCATATCGAACCTAAGCATGACCTGTGCATACTGTGGAGAAGTATGTCGTTCTAGAACCGATCTGGAATCTCATACAAGAATTCAACATGCTTCAAACGAACCCGGTGGACGCCACAAGTGCAACATCTGCGATGAGGTTTGCCCTTCGGGTGCGACTCTTGCGGAACACAAACTGCAGAAACATTGTAAGATTCAGTTAAGTGACACGTGCATCGTTTGCCGAGGAAACTTGACTACAGAGTCGCAATTTCTGGAACACGTTCAAAGACACAGTCTAGAGAACGTAGATCCTCAACAAAGATTAGATGGTTCCCTTCCTCATCTTCCTGCGGCATGTGTAGTTTGCAGACAGACGTTGATTAGTGATTTAGAATGTCGTCTTCACGCCAGACATCATTTGAGAGCATCCACTGGTTCTCATAGCGTGGGATCTAGCCCCAGTCCTAATCAGAAGAGCCAAAGTCCAAATTGCTGTCTTTGTTTAAGAGATTATTCAGCCGACGACTTTGTTAATTTACCTCCAAATCATATAAGTGGAGGAGGACAATCTTTAAGGGTCTGCAAATCTTGCTACATTCGTCATTCTCAGGGTTTACCTATTTTGAATGCACCATATGAACCTCTTAGGTCTAAATGTGATGCTCCTTGGATATCCAGCAATAAAGATGGACAGTGGGATGGGTCAAGGGATAGATGGGAGTCAGAGAGTAGATTTAAAGAAGACAGAAATGAGGTAAATGATAATAAGAGATGTCAGGACTGTGGTGTCAAGTTTGAGGGTTCTGAAGAGGCGGAAAAACATAGGATGATGGAACATGAGAAGGTTGCGACTGCTGCAAGCACATATACGTGTATACAGTGTCAGGTAATCAGAATTATAATAATTAAAATAACAATCGAGTTTAAAATAATTCATAAAACTTCTTTTTTTGTAAATCTAATAATATACTTATTTCCCCTCCCAGACATCGTTCCCAACAGAAGCGAAGATCCAGCAGCACATAAGAAAGGAACATCTGGAGGCATCGAAAGCTTCTATCGAGGCATTACGATGCCATCTATGTCTATTCGAAGCCAGCAGTCCATTACAGTTGCAGAGCCATTTGATAGAACACACTTTTGCAGGATGTGCAGCACTTAGTTGCTACATTTGTCAGTCACTCTTCACTGCACCCATTGGTCTTCAGGTATCATAAGAAGTATTACTCTTCGTTTAATTACTCATAATCAATTATTAACGCTATTTCTCAACATTCTTATTTCATTTAATCGAAAAATGTTTATTTTATCTTTCTGTATACTTTTGCCTTGTTCCTTCTTCTGTAATATGTACATCCTGTAACTTTAAGAATATCGTTGTTATATATATATATTTGATGATTGAATTTGGTGATCATATATATATATTTATATTGTTAAACTTTTTATCATTAAATTGAAGTTAAAGTACCTCCAATCTTTCATATTTTAGAACCATATGCTCCAAGAACACGGCCTGGGTGCTCGTCCGTACGACTGTTCTCAGTGCACGCTTAAATTCTTCTTCAGGGCTGAGCTAGACCATCATATGCTAACATTTCACCGACTCGGGGAAATACCCTCGCCTAGTGGAAACGCACAGGACATTGTCGAAACAAAGACAAAGGACACCGAAGAGAAAATCTACGACGACGGAGTAACGGTAAAAGAAGAACTACTTCCGGATGCCGGAGACGAAGAAGAAGAGATCAACGTGGACGAGCAAGTGGAAGAAAATGATCGAAAAATAGACAAGCATTCGGTAATCGAAACGAAATTGAAAACTGAGCTCGAGGAGGAAACTGTTCCTGAAAAAATGGAATCGTGATCATTTCTCGTTGATCGAGGAAATAAAACATTCGGATAAACGATCATTTTGGAATTAGTCTGAGACTAACAATAAAATAAGGGATAAATAGATCACTGACATGCTGTCAAGCTAAATCATAGCTTGAATCATCTATTGGTGATCATACATTTCTGTTAATTTCATTTATAGTATGTCTATCCTGGAAAAGAAATACGAGATGACTTATCTTATTTGCTAAAATCGTTTTTTTTTTTTTTTTTTTTTTTTTAACC